TCTGCAGGGCCCCAGGCCCTGTGCTCCCAGCCCGCGGTCCCATCCCAGCACCTTTCTCTCAGGGACGATGCACAGTGTGGGGCCTGCCTGCTCCTCTGACCGGCTGTCATCCTGCTCCTGCTGTCCCTGCGGCCCATCCAGGTCCCAGGTGCTCGTGTGCGTCTGTGTGAGACTCTCTGTGATGTGGGACCTGGGAGAGCTGCTCCGTGGAGGGTGTTCAGGAAACCCTCTCAGGACGCCCTGTTCTGTGACATCCTCTGAGCAACAGGACACAGCGCTGAGAGGCAGTCCCTTCCTGAGACCGGGACCCCCTGAGATGCTGCTGGTTTAGGGAAATCTGTCTGTGCGTCCAACTAATGGGCCGGAGCTGGAGAGCGTCCAATGCAGCCCCAGCCCGGCTTCCCTGGGGCCCACGGACCTCTTTTCCTGCTGGGTCAGGATCTGAGGGACCACTGAGATACTCCCAAGAGATAAGGCTGTACAGGGAGCGAAGCCCTGCCCAGGGAGAAACCAACTCGGGTTCCAGGGTGGCATTTGGCTTTCAGTTGTTCTCATCATGTAAACAAATCTTTGGAGAGTTTTAACCCCCCTTTTAACCCCCCTTACCTGGGGGAGCCAGGTGGATCACATAACCATCGCCCACATAGAGGGCCCAGTGCGAGGAGCCGATGCGGGAAATCTCAATCAGGTCTCCAGGCTCGGGCTCTGCACGAATCTGCAAGGAAACAGCCAGGAGAGTGAGACAGATTTCAGGGAGCTGCAGCCCCACCTGGGGATTTGCTTACTGATGCTCACCCCATGGGAAGGGTGTGTGTGTATGCATGTATGTGTGTGTGCACGCGTGCGCTGCTGAGGAAGGCGGGGACGGGGAGGGTGGGACTCATGTTCCTTGTGAGGTACTCAACCTGCTGTAGTTCCAGAGGTTTCCCTGTGAGTAAATGGAAACCTGGAAATATACCTTGTGCTTCCAGAGAGTGAAGATTTATCCAGAAAGCGTATGATATGCATGTGTGTTATGTGTACTGTACATGGATATGTTGTGTGTGTGTTTACATGCACACGCACTAGGATGCAGACATGAATATGCAGGTGTATTGTGTATGTGTCTGGAGGGTGGTAAGACAAAAGCCTGTATGTAACCCCCTTCCCTGAGGCTGGGGCCCAGGCCCATCCCCCACAACGTTGTCCAGATCAGTCTGAGCTTCTCTGCTTTCACACTCTGAACCTCATGTCTCCATCATGTGTTTACCCTGGCTGTGCATGGCCCAACACCCACCACCTCACACTCTGCCCTCCCAGCCCCGGCACACGGACCCTTGAAGGTGCTGAGCTGACAGACAGCAGGTGGCAGCACCCTGAGGGCACCTGAGCATTGGAGAAGGCCCTCCTGTTGTTGCCCAGCTTCCTGCCCTGGACACAGGCTCACAGTCCCCCAGCAGGCTCTGCGGGCACATTTCCCACATAACTGCCACCCTCCCAAGCCCAGGAGAAGGAAGCAGCACCCACGTGCTCAGCTGGGGAAACTGAGGATCAGAGAGGTAGAGGGACTTGCCCAGGGACACTCAGCTGGCAGTGGCTGCACTGGGTCTTCTCTGCCCCGCCACGTTCTTGGTCCCCTTTCATCCCTTCCTGTCTTATGACCTCCTCCCTGCTCCTCAGTGTCCCTGCCCAGGGCACCACAGCTTCCTGATTTGAGAATTTTTCAGTTTATCTTCCTGTTTGTGTCTGACCTCAGCTAACATCCTGCAGCGCTCACCCCAGGCCGCCCAATCTGAGACCAGGGGCCAGCTTCCCTTTGCCCTCATTCCATGCCAACATCCAACAGTGGTCATTTAGCCTGGAAGCTTCTCTGGAATTCACTTCTTTGTTCATCTTTCCCCCTGACGTTATTCAGGACCATCCTGTACTTGATTATGTGACCCTATGTTTTCCCGACCAACCCCCAGACTTCTGTACCACCCATTCCAGGGCCTGTGTGAGCCTCCTGGGTGGGGCCATTTGGTTCTGACAGGGCGTTGGGGGAGGGGGCTTCCTGCTTGGGCTCCTGGGGCCAGAGCTCTGGGGCTGAAAGTGGGAATGGCTCTGTGGTCTGGCCTCCACCTCTGCAGGAGGTGGTGGCAGAACTGAGGGGAGACAATGGGAAACCATGGCCTCAGGGATCACTGTGCTCTGTGTACTGTTCCCAAGTGCAGCCTGGAAGCTTCTATCTCCACCCCCACCTCAGCCTTGATTTCCAGACTCACACATCCAACTGCTACTCAACAGCTCTACCTAGATGTCTAACTGGTCACCTCAACACCCCACCTGAGTATCAAATCCTTAATTTCCTTCCCTAACCTCCCCCTCCCCTCATCTCCTCCATCCAGGCTGCCCATCACCCAATCACAGGGGCTGTGAGCCCTGGAGGCGCTGTGG